GTTTTGGCAAATGTTAAACTTGATATTTGGGTGTTGTTTGAACTTGAGTTTGTGTCATGTTTGAACTTGAGTTTGTGTCGTGTTTGAACTTGAGTTTGTGTCGTGTTTGAACTTGAGTTTGTGTCATGTTTGAACTTGAGTGTTGTGTTTGAACTTGAGTTTGTTGCAATTTTTGAACTTGAGTTTTGAACTTGAGTCTTTGGTTTTTAGTGAACTTTATTTGGTGGCAATTGTTAAACTTGAGTTTGTGTGTTTGTTGAACCTGAGTTTGTGTCGTGTTTGAACTTGAGATTTTGCTGTTTTGTGATCTTGAATTTGTGTGGGTTTTTTTTTAACTTGAGTTTTTGGTGTTTTTGAATTTGAGTTTCTGTTGTTTTTGAACATGAGGTTGTGGCAATTTGTTAAACTTGAGATTTGGGTGTTGGTTGAAATTAAGTTTCGGCATTTTTGAACTTGAGTTTGTGGTGTTTTTGAACTTGAATATGTGTGTTTTTTGAACCTGAGTTTGTTGAACTTGAGTTTTTGGCAATTCTTTAATGTTAATATAGGTTATTTGTTGAATTTGAAATTTTGGCATTTTTTGAACTTAAGCTTGTGGTGTTTGTTGAACTTGAGTTTGTGGCAATTGTTAACATTGAGTCTGTATTTTTCTCTGAACATTAGTTGGTGGCAATTGTTGAACTTGAGTTCGTGTGTTTGTTGAACTTGAGTTTTTGTCGTTTAGAACTTGAGTTTGTGGTGTTTTTGAACTTGAGGTTTTGGCAAATGTTAAACTTGATATTTGGGTGTTGTTTGAACTTGAGTTTGTGTCATGTTTGAACTTGAGTTTGTGTCGTGTTTGAACTTGAGTTTGTGTCGTGTTTGAACTTGAGTTTGTGTCATGTTTGAACTTGAGTGTTGTGTTTGAACTTGAGTTTGTTGCAATTTTTGAACTTGAGTTTTGAACTTGAGTCTTTGGTTTTTAGTGAACTTTATTTGGTGGCAATTGTTAAACTTGAGTTTGTGTGTTTGTTGAACCTGAGTTTGTGTCGTGTTTGAACTTGAGATTTTGCTGTTTTGTGATCTTGAATTTGTGTGGGTTTTTTTTTAACTTGAGTTTTTGGTGTTTTTGAATTTGAGTTTCTGTTGTTTTTGAACATGAGGTTGTGGCAATTTGTTAAACTTGAGATTTGGGTGTTGGTTGAAATTAGGTTTCAGCATTTTTGAACTTGAGTTTGTGGTGTTTTTGAACTTGAATATGTGTGTTTTTTGAACCTGAGTTTGTTGAACTTGAGTTTTTGGCAATTCTTTAATGTTAATATAGGTTATTTGTTGAATTTGAAATTTTGGCATTTTTTGAACTTAAGCTTGTGGTGTTTGTTGAACTTGAGTTTGTGGCAATTGTTAACATTGAGTCTGTATTTTTCTCTGAACATTAGTTGGTGGCAATTGTTGAACTTGAGTTCGTGTGTTTGTTGAACTTGAGTTTTTGTCGTTTAGAACTTGAGTTTGTGGTGTTTTTGAACTTGAGGTTTTGGCAAATGTTAAACTTGATATTTGGGTGTTGTTTGAACTTGAGTTTGTGTCGTGTTTGAACTTGAGTTTGTGTCGTGTTTGAACTTGAGTTTGTGTCGTGTTTGAACTTGAGTTTGTGTCGTGTTTGAACTTGAGTTTGTGTCATGTTTGAACTTGAGAGTTGTGTTTGAACTTGAGTTTGTTGCAATTTTTGAACTTGAGTTTTGAACTTGAGTCTTTGGTTTTTAGTGAACTTTATTTGGTGGCAATTGTTAAACTTGCGTTTGTCGCGTGTTTGAACTTGAGTTTGTGTTGTTTTTTAACTTGAGGTCTTGGCAATTGTTAATCTTTAGATTTGGGTGTTGGTTGAACTTAAAACTTTGACATTTGTTGAACTTGACTTTGTGGAGTTCATTTAACTTGAGTTTGTGGTGTTTTTGAACTTGAATTTTTGTGTGTTTATTTTTAACTTGAGTTTGTGGTGTTTTTGAACTTGAATTTGTGTGTTTTTTGAACTTGAGGTTGTTGCAATTTTTGAACTTGAGTTTGTTGAACTTGAGTTTTTGGCAATTGTTAAATGTGAGTTTAGGTCATTTGTTGAATTTGAAATTTTGGCATTTTTTGAACTTAAGATTGTGGTGTTTGTTGAACTTGAGTTTGTGGCAATTGTTGAACTTGAGTCTGTATTTTTCCCTGAACTTTAGTTTGAATTTTTGTGTGTTTTTTTAATTTAAGTTTGTGGCAATTGTTAAACTTGAGATATGGGTGTTGGTTGAACTTGAGTTTGTGGTGTTTTTGAACTTGAGTTTGTGTGTTTGTTTAACTTGAGTTTGTGGCGTGTTTTGACTTGAGTTTCTGTTGTTTTTGAACTTGAGGTTGTGGCAATTTGTGGCGTTTGTTGAGCTTGATTTTGTGTCGTGTTTGAACTTGAGTTTGTGGTTTTTGTTGAACTTGAGTTTGTGTCGTGTTTGAACTTGAGTTTGTATGGTTTTTGAACTTGAGTTTGTTTCGTGTTTGAACTTGAGTTTGTGGCGTTTGTTGAACTTGAGTTTGTGTCATGTTTGAACTTGAGTTTGTGGCGTTTGTTGAACTTGAGTTTGTGTTGTGTTTGAACTTGAGTTAATGGAGTTTTTGAACTTGAGTTTGTGGTTTTTTTTAACTTGAGGGTGTGGAATTTGTTAAACTTTAGAATTGGGTATTGGTTGAATTTGAGTTTGTGATGTTTGTTGAACTTGAGTTTGTGATGTTTTTGAACTTGAGGTTGTGGAAATTGTTAAACTTGAGAATTGGGTATTGGTTGAACTTGAGTTTGTGGTGATTTTGAACTTGAATTTGTTTTGTGTTTGAACTTGAATTTGTGGCAACTGTTGAACTTGAGTTTGTGTCGTGTTTGAACTTGAGTTTCTGGTGTTTTTGAACTTGAGTTTTTGGTGTTTTTGAACTTGAGGTTGTGGAAATTGTTAAACTTGAGAATTGGGTATTGGTTGAACTTGATTTTTTTGTGTTTTTTAACTAGAGTTTGTGTCGTGTTTGAACTTGAGTTTGTGGTGTTTTTGAACTTGAGTTAGTGTGTTTGTTGAACTTGAGTTTGTGTCGTGTTTGAACTTTAGTTTGTGGCGTTTGTTGAGCTTGATTTTGTGTCGTGTTTGAACTTGAGTTTGTGGTTTTTGTTGAACTTGAGTTTGTGTCGTGTTTGAACTTGAGTCTGTGTGTTTTTTGAACTTGAGTTTGTTTCGTGTTTGAACTTGAGTTTGTGTCGTGTTTGAACTTGAGTTTGTGTCATGTTTGAACTTGAGTTTGTGGTGTTTTTGAACTTGAATTTGCGTGTTTGGTTAACTTGAGTTTTTGTGTTTTTTGAACTTAGGTTTCTGTTGTTTTTGAACTTGAGGTTGTGGAAATTGTTAAACTTGAGAATCAGGTGTTGGTTGAACTTGAGTTTGTGTGTTTGTTGAACTTGAGTTTGTGGTGTTTTTGAACTTGAGGTTGTTGAAATTGTTAATCTTGAGAATTGGGTATTGGTTGAACTTGAGTTTGTGTCGTGTTTGAACGTGAGTTTGGTTCGTGTTTTAACTTGAATTTGTGATGTTTTTGAATTTGAGTTTGTGTGTTGGTTGAACTTGAGTTTGTGTTGTGTTTGAACTTGAGTTTGTGGTGTTTTTGAACTTGAGTTTGTGTGTTTGTTGAACTTGAGTTTGTGTTGTGTTCGATCTTGAGTTTGTGGTGATTTTGAACTTGAGTTTGTGACGTGTTTGAACTTGAGTTTGTGGCGTTTTTGAACTTGAGTTTGTGGTGTTTCTGAACTTGAGTTTTTGGTGTTTTTGAACTTGAGTTTGTGGCGTTTGTTGAACTTGAGTTTCTGTTGTTTTTTAACTTGAATTTGTGTCGTGTTTGAACTTGAGTTTGTGGCATTTGTTGAACTTGAGTTTGTGGTGTTTTTGAACTTGAGGGTGTGGAAATTTTTAAACTTGAGAATTGGGTTTTGGTTGAACTTGCGTTTTTGTGTTTTTTAAATTAGGTTTGTGTAGTGTTTGAACCTGAGTTTGTGGTGTTTTTGAACTTGAGGTGCATGTTTGGTGACCTTGAGTTTGTGTGTTTTTTGAACTTGAGTATCTATTGTTTTTTGAACTTGAAGTTGTGGTTTTTTTTTAACTTGAGGGTGTGGAATTTGTTAAACTTGAGAATTGGGTTTTGGTTGAACTTGAGTTTGTGGTGTTTTTGAACTTGAGTTTCTGTTGTTTTTGAACTTGAATTTGTGTCGTGTTTGAACTTGAGTTTGTGGCGTGTTGAACTTGAGTTTGTGTCGTGTCTGAACTTGAGTTTGTGGTGTTTTTGAACTTGATTTTGTGTTTAACATGATTTTGTGTTATGTTTGAACTTGAGTTTGTGGGGTTTTTGAACTTGAGTTTGTGGTGTTTTTGAACTTGAGTTTGTGGCGTTTGTTGAACTTGAGTTTCTGTTGTTTTTGAACTTGAATTTGTGTCGTGTTTGAACTTGAGTTTGTGGCGTTTGTTGAACTTGAGTTTGTGTTGTGTTTGAACTTGAGTTTCTGTTTTTTTAACTTGAGTTTGTTTCTTGTTTGAACTTGAGTTTGTGGCGTTTGTTGAAATTGAGTTTGTGTTGTGTTTGAACTTGAGTTAATGGGGTATTTGAACTTGAGTTTGTGGTTTTTTTTAACTTGAGGGTGTGGAATTTGTTAAACTTTAGAATTGGGTATTGGTTGAACTTGAGTTTGTGATGTTTTCGAACTTGAGTTTTTGGTATTTTTGAACTTGAGGTTGTGGAAATTGTTAAACTTGAGAATTGGGTATTGGTTGAAGTTGATTTTTTTGTGTTTTTTAACTAGAGTTTGTGTCGTGTTTGAACTTGAGTTTGTGGTGTTTTTTAACTTGATTTTGTGTGTTTGTTGAACTTGAGTTTGTGTTTGAACTTGAGTTTGTGGGGTTTTTGAACTTGAGTTTGTGTCGTGTTTTAACTTGAGTTTGTGTGTTTGTTTAACTTGAGTTTGTGTTGTGTTTGAACTTGAGTTTGTGGCGTTTGTTGAACTTGAGTTTCTGTTGTTTTTGAACTTGAATTTGTGTCGTGTTTGAACTTGAGTTTGTGGCGTTTGTTGAATTTGAGTTTGTGTCGTGTCTGAACTTGAGTTTGTGGTGTTTTTGAACTTGAGTTTTCTGGTGTTTTTGAACTTGAGGGTGTGGAATTTGTTAAACTTGAGAATTGGGTATTGGTTTAACTTGAGTTTGTGTGTTTGTTGAACTTGAGTTTGTGTCAAGTTTGAACTTGAGTTTGTGGTGTTTTTTAACTTGATTTTGTGTGTTTGTTGAACTTGAGTTTGTGTTTGAACTTGAGTTTGTGGTGTTTTTGAACTTGAGTTTGTGTCGTGTTTTGAACTTGAGGTATTGGAAATTGTTAAACCTTTGAATCAGGTGTTGGTTGAACTTGAGTTTGTGTGTTTGTTGAACTTGAGTTTGTGTCATATTTGAACTTTAGCTTGTGGTGTTTTTGAACTTGAGTTTGTGTGTTTGAACTTGAGGTTGTGGTGTTTTTGGACTTGAGTTTGTGTCGTGTTTAAACTTGAGGGTGTGGAATTTGTTTAACTTGACAATTTGGTATTGGTTGAACTTGAGTTTGTGGGGTTTTTCTGAACTTGAGTTTGTGGAAATTGTTTAACTTGAGAATCAGGTGTTGGATGAACTTGAGTTAGTGTTTGTTGAACTTGAGTTTGTGTTGTGTTGGAACTTAAGTTTTTGGTGTTTTTGATCTTGAGTTTATGTGCTTGTTGAACTTGAGTTTGTGTTTTTTTTTAACTTGAGTTTGTTTCATGTTTGAACTTGAGTTTTTGGTGTTTTTGAACTTGAATTTTTGGTGTTTTTGAAATTGAGCTTGTGGAAGTTGTTAAACTTGAGAATTGGGTATTGGTTGAACTTGAGTTTTTTGTGTTTTTGAACTTGAGTTTGTGTCGTGTTTGAACTTGAGTTTATGGTGTTTTTGAACTTGAGTTTGTGGTGTTTTTGAACTTGAGGTTGTGGAAATTGTTAAACTTGAGAATTGGGTATTGGTTGAACTGATTTTTTTGTGTTTTTGATCTTGATTTTGTGTTGTGTTTGAACTTGAGTTTATGGGTTTTTTTAACTTGAATTTGCATGTTTGGTGAACTTGAGTTTTCGTGTTTGTTTGAACTTGAGTTTCTGTTTTTTTGAACTTGAGTTTTTGGTGGTCTTGAGCTTGAGGTTGTGGAAATTGTTAAACCTTATAATCGGGTATTGGTTGAACTTGAGTTTGTTTGTTTTTTGAACTTGAGTTTGTGGTGTGTTTGAACTTGAGTTTGTGGTGTTTATGAACTTGAGTTTGTGTGTTTGTTTAACTTGAGTTTGTGTTGTTTTTGAACTTGAGTTTTTGGTGGTCTTGAACTTGAGGTTGAGGAAATTGTTAAACTTGAGAATTGGGTATTGGTTGAACTTGCGTTTTTTGTGTTTTTAAATTGGGTTTGTGTAGTGTTTGAACCTGAGTTTGTGGTGTTTTTGAACTTGAAGTTGTGTTTATTTTTAACTTGAGGGTGTGAAATTTTTTAAAGTTGAGAATCGGGTTTTGGTTGAACTTGAGTTTGTGGTGTTTTTGAACTTGAGTTTGTCCGTGTTAGAACTTGAGTTTTTGGCGTTTGTTGAACTTGAGTTTCTGTTGTTTTTGAACTTGAGTTTGTGTCGTGTTTGAACTTGAGTTTGTGTGTTTGTTGAACTTGAGTTTGTGTTATGTTTGAACTTGAGTTTGTGTCGTGTATGAACTTGAGTTTGTGTCGTGTTTTTGAACTTGAGTTTTTGGTGTTTTTGAACTTGAGGGTGTGGAATTTGTTAAACTTGAGAATTGGGTATTGGTTGAATTTGAGTTTGTGTGTTTGTTGAAATTGAGTTTGTGTCATGTTTGAACTTGAGTTTGTGGTCTTTTTGAACTTGAGTTTGTGTGTTTGTTGAACTTGAGTTGTGGCGTTTTTTTAAACTCTAGGTTGTGGCAATTGTTAAACTTGAGATTTGGTTGTTGGTTGAACTTGAGTTTGTGTCGTGTTTGAACTTGAGTTCGTGTTGTTTGTTGAACTTGAATTTGTGTGTTTTTTGAACTTAATTTTTTGAACTTGAGTTTGTGGCAATTGTTGAACTTGAGTCTGTGGTTTTTGGTGAACTTTAATTGGTGGTGTTTTTGAACTTGAGTTTTTGGTGTTTTTGAACTTGAGTTTGTTTCGGGTTTGAACTTTGTTTGTGGTGTTTTTGAACTTGAGTTTTTGATGTTTTTGAACTTGAGGGTGTGTTGTGTTTTTGAACTTGAGTTTGTGGTGTTTTTGAACTTGAGTTTGTTTCGTGTTTGAACTTGAGTTTGTGGCGTTTGTTGAACTCTAGGTTGTGGCAATTGTTGAACTTGAGATTTGGGTGTTGGTTCAACTTAAAAGTTTGGCATTTGTTGAACATGAGTTTGTGTGTTTGTTGAACTTAAGTTTGTGTCTTGTTTGAACTTAAGTTTGTGTCTTGTTTGAACTTGAGTTTGTGGTGTTTTCAAACTTGAGTTTTTGGTGTCTTTGAACTTGAGTTTTTGGTGTTTTTGAACTTGAGTTTGAATCGTGTTTGAACTTGAGTTTGTGGTGTTTTTGAACTTGAGTTTGTGGTGTTTTTGAACTTGAGGTGTTGGAAATTGTGAAACTTGAGAATTGGGTATTGGTTGAACTTGAGTGTGTTTTTTGAACTTGAGGTTGTGGTGTTTTTGAACTTGAGTTTGTGGTGTTTTGTACTTGAGTTTGTGTTATTTTTCAACTTGAGGTTGTGGAACTTGTTAAACTTGAGAATCAGGTGTTGATTGAACTTGAGTATTTGTTTTTTTTTAACTTGAGTTTGTGTCGTGTTTGAGCTCGAGTTTGTGGTGTTTTTGAATTTGAGTTTGCGTGTTTGTTAAACTTGAGTTTGTGTTTTTTTTAACTTGAGTTTGTTGTTTCTGAACTTGAGTTTGTGGCAATTGTTTAACTTGAGTTTGACATTTGTTGAACTTGGGTTTGTGGTTTTTGTTGAACTTGAGTTTGTGGTGTTTTTGAACTTGAGGTTGTGGAATTTGTTAAACTTGAGAATTGGGTATTGGTTGAAATTGAGTTTGTGTGTTTGTTGAACTTGAGTTTGTGTCGTGTTTGAACTTGAGTTTATGGTTTTTTTGAACTTGAGTTTGTGGTGTTTTTGAACTTGAGGTTTTTAGAAATTGTTGAACTTGAAAATTTGGTATTGGATGAACTTGAGTTTGTGTGTTTGTTGAACTTGAGTTTGTGTCGTGTTTGAACTTTGGTTTGTGGTGTTTTTTGAGCCTGAGGTTTGTGGTGTTTTTGAACTTGAGTTTGTGTTGCTTTTGAACTTTAGGTTGTGGCAATTTCTAAAATTGAGATTTGGGTGTTGGTTGAACTTAAAAGTTTGTCATTTGTTGAACTTGAGTTTGTGGTTTTTGTTGAACTTGAGTTTGTGTCGTGTTTGAACTGTAGGTTGTGGTTTTTTTGAGCTCGAGTATTTGTGATTGTTGAACTTAAGTTTTTGGTGTGTTTGAACTTGAGTTTGTGTTTTTTTTTAAGTTGAGGTTGTGGTTTTTTGAACTTCAGTTTGTGGAAATTGTTAAACTTGAGGATTGGGTGGTGGTTGAACTTGAGTTTGTGGTGTTTTTAGAACTTGAGGTTGTGGTGTTTTTGACTTGAGTTCGTGGCGTGTTTGAACTTCAGTTTGTGGAAATTGTTAAACTTGAGGATTGGGTGTTGGTTGAACTTGAGTTTGTGGTGTTGTTTGAACTTGAGTTTGTGGTGTTTTTTGAGCTTGAGGTTGTGGTGTTTTTGAGCTTGAGTTTGTGGCATGTTTGAACTTGAGGTTGTGGAAAAATGTAAACTTGAGATTTGGGTGTTGATTGAAGTTGAGTTTGTTTCGTGTTTGATCTTGAGGTTGTGGTGTTTTTGAACTTGAGGTTTCTTGTTTGTTTAACTTGAGTTTGTGTGTTTTTTGAACTTGAGTTTGTTGTTTCTGAACTTGAGGTTTTGGCAATTGTTGAACTTGAGTCTGTGGTTTTTAGTGAACTTTAGTTGGTTGCAATTGTTGAACATGAGTTTATGGCGTTTGTTGAACTTGAGTTTGTGACGTGGATGAACTTGAGTTTGTGTTATTTTTGAACTTGAGGTTGTGGCAATTTCTAAAATTGAGAATTGGGTGTTGGTTGAACTCAAAAGTTTGACATTTGTTGAACTTGAGTGTGGTTTTTGTTGAACTTGAGTTTGTTTCGTGTTTGAACTTGAGGTTGTGGTGTTTTTGAACTTGAGGTTTCTTGTTTGTTTAACTTGAGTTTTTGGCGTGTTTGAACTTGAGTTTGTGGTTTTTTTAACTTGAGGTTGTGGTTTTTTGAACTTCAGTTTGTGGAAATTTTTAAAATTGAGGATTGGGTGGTGGTTGAACTTGAGTTTGTGGTGTTTTTTTAACTTGAGGTTGTGGTGTTTTTGACTTGAGTTCGTGGCGTGTTTGAACTTGAGGTTGTTGCAATTGTTAAACTTGAGATTTGGGTGTATGTTGAACTCCAGTTTGTGTTGTGTTTGAACTTGAGGTTGTGGTATTTTTGAATTGAGTTTGTGGCGGTTTTTGAACTTGAGTTTGTGGCGTGTTTGAACTTGAGATTGTGGCGTGTTTGAACTTGAGTTTGTGGTGGTTTTTGAACTTGAGGTTGTGAAAATTGTTAAAACTTGAGAATTAGGTGTTGGTTGAACTTGAGTTTGTGGGGTTTTTTTAGCTTGAGTTTGTGGTTTTTGTTGAACTTGAGTTTGTGTCGTTTTTGAGCTTGAGGTTGTGGTGTTTTTAAACTTGAGTTTGCGTGTTTGTTTAACTTGAGTTTGTGTGTTTTTTTAACTTGAGTTTGTTGTTTCTGAAGTTGAGGTTTTGGCAATTGTTGAACTTGAGTCTGTTGTTTTTAGTGAACTTTAGTTGGTGGCAATTGTTGAACTTGAGTTTGTGGCATTTGTTAAACTTGAGTTTGTGACGTGTTTAAACATGATTTTGTGGTGTTTTTGAACTCGAGTTTGTGGTATTGGTTGAACTTGAGGTTGTGGAAATTGTTAAACTTGAGAATTGGGTATTGGTTGAACTTTAGTTTGTGTGTTTGTTGAACTTGAGTTTGTGTCGTGTTTGAACTTCAGTTTGTGGTGTTTTTGAACTCGAGTTTTTGTGTTTATTGAACTTCAGTTTGTGTCGTGTTTGAACTTGAGTTTGTGGTGTTTTTTGAACTTGAGGTTGTGTGTTTTTTTGAACTTGAGTTTGTGGCGGTTTTTGAACTTGAGGTTGTGGCAATTGTTGAACTTGAGTTTGTGACGTGTTTGAACTTGATTTTGTGGTGTTTTTGAACTTGAGTTTGTGGTGTTTTTGAACTTGAGTTCGTGGTGTTTGTGGAATTTGAGTTTGTGTCCTGTTTGAACTTGAGGTTGTGGTGTTTTTCAACTCGAGTTTTTGTGTTTGTTGAACTTCAGTTTGTGTCGTGTTTGAACTTGAGTTTGTGGTGTTTTTTGAACTTGAGTTTGTGGTGTTTTTTGAACTTGAGGTTGTGGTGTTTTTGAACTTGAGTTTGAGGCGGTGTTTGAACTTGAGGTTGTTGCAATTGTTAAACTTGAGATTCGGGTGTTGGTTGAACTTAAAACTTTGCCATTTGTTGAACTTGAGTTTGTGGTGTATGTTGAACTCCAGCTTGTGTTGTGTTTGAACCTGAGTTTGTGGCGGTTTTTGAACTTGAGTTTGTGGCGTGTTTGAACTTGAGATTGTGGCGTGTTTGAACTTGAGTTTGTGGTGGTTTTTGAACTTGAGGTTGTGAAAATTGTTAAAACTTGAGAATCAGGTGTTGGTTGAACTTGAGTTTGTGGTTTTTGTTGAACTTGAGTTTGTGGTTTTTGTTGAACTTGAGTTTGTGTCGTGTTTGAACTTGAGGTTGTGGTGTTTTTGAACTTGAGGTTTCTTGTTTGTTTAACTTGAGTTTGTGTGTTTTTTGAACTTGAGTTTGTTGTTTCTGAACTTGAGGTTTTGGCAATTGTTGAACTTGAGTCTGGTTTTTAGTGAAATTTAGTTGGTTGCAATTGTTGAACATGAGTTTATGGCGTTTGTTGAACTTCAGTTTGTGACGTGGATGAACTTGAGTTTGTGTTATTTTTGAACTTGAGGTTGTGGCAATTTCTAAAATTGAGAATTGGGTGTTGGTTGAACTTAAAAGTTTGACATTTGTTGAACTTGAGTTTGTGTGTTTGTTGAACTTGAGTTTGTGTCGTGTTTGAACTTGAGGTTGTGGTTTTTTTGAACTCGAGTTTTTGTGTTTGTTGAACTTCAGTTTGTGGAAATTTTTAAACTTGAGGATTGGGTGGTGGTTGAACTTGAGTTTGTGGTGTTTTTTGAACTTGAGGTTGTGGTGTTTTTGACTTGAGTTCGTGGCGTGTTTGAACTTGAGGTTGTCGCAATTGTTAAACTTGAGATTTGGGTGTTGGTTGAACTTAAAACTTTGCCATTTGTTGAACTTGAGTTTGTGGTGTATGTTGAACTCCAGCTTGTGTTGTGTTTGAACTTGAGGTCGTGGTATTTTTGAATTGAGTTTGTGGAGGTTTTTGAACTTGAGTTTGTGGCGTGTTTGAACTTTAGATTGTGGCGTGTTTGAACTTGAGTTTGTGGTGGTTTTTGAACTTGAGGTTGTGAAAATTGTTAAAACTTGAGAATCAGGTGTTGGTTGAACTTGAGTTTGTGGTTTTTGTTGAACTTGATTTTGTGCTTTGATTGAACTTTAGTTTATGTTTTTTTTGTACTTGAGTTTGTGTTGTTTTTGAACTTGAGGTTGTGGAAATTGTAAAAACTTGAGAATCAGGTGTTGGTTGACTTGAGTTTGTGGTTTTTGTTGAACTTGAGTTTGTGTGTTTTTTTAACTTGAGTTTGTTGTTTCTGAACTTGAGGTTTTGGCAATTGTTGAACTTGATAATTGGGTATTGGTTGAACTTGAGTTTGTGTGTTTGTTGAACTTGAGTTTGTGTCGTGTTTGAACTTCAGTTTGTGGTGTTTTTTGAACTTGAGGTTGTGGTGTTTTTGAACTTGAGTTTTTGGTGTTTTTGAACTTGAGGTTGTGGCAATTGTTGAACTTCAGTTTGTGACGTGTTTGAACTTGATTTTGTGGTGTTTTTGAACTCGACTTTGTTTTGTTTTTGAACTTGAGTTCGTGGTGTTTGTTGAACTTGAGTTTGTGTCGTGTTTGAACTTGAGGTTGTGGTGTTTTTGAACTCGAGTTTTTGTGTTTGTTGAACTTCAGTTTGTGTCGTGTTTGAACTTGAGTTTGTGGTGTTTTTTGAACTTGAGGTTGTGGTGTTTTTGAACTTGAGTTTGTGGCGGTTTTTGAACTTGAGGTTGTTGCAATTGTTGAACTTGAAATAAAAACCCAAATATGAACCCAAATATATATTTTTTCTTTTTACATTTTTTTGGTGTAACCAACTCCAAAAGGTCTTAAACATGTTCCTAAAAAGGTTTTGGACAGTGATTTTAACCCTAACACCAAAAACCTTAAACCTTACCCTAGCCCCAAAACCTAATACCCGGGTATTACCTTCAGGAAGCCCGAACACCCCAAATATTTTTTTTTCTTTTTTTTTTTTTTCTAACTAACTCCCAAAGGTCTGAAACATGTTCCTTAAAAAATATTGGACAGTTATTTTGACCCTAACGCCAAAAACCTTAAACCTAACCCTGGCCCCAAAACCACCCGGGTATTACCTTCAGGAAGCCCGAACACCCCAAATATTTTTTTTTCATTTATCTTTTTTTTTTTTGTCTAACTTTATCCCAAAGGTTGGAAAAGAATTCCTACAATGGTTTTGGACAGTGATTTTTACCCTCACGCCCAAAAACCTTAAACCTTACCCTAGCCCCATAACCTAATACCCGGGTATTACCTTCAGGAAGCCCGAAGACCCCAAATATATATTTTTATTTTCATTTTTTTTTTCGTCTAACTAACTCCAAAAGGTCTGAAACATGTTCCTTAAAAAATATTGGAGAGTGATTTTAACCCTTACGCCAAAAACCTTAAACCTAATCCTAGCCCCATAACCAAATACTTAAACCTGAAGGGTATTACCTTCAGGAAGCCCGAACACCCCAAATATTTTTTTTGTCATTTTACATTTTTTTTTTGGTGTAACCAACTCCAAAAGGTCTTAAACATGTTCCTTAAAAGGGTTTGGACAGTGATTTTAACCCTAACGCCAAAAACCTTAAACCTTACCCTAGCCCCAAAACCTAATACCTTCAGGAAGCCCGAAAACCCCAAATATTTTTTTTCTTTTTTCTTTTTTTTTTGGTCTAACTAACTCCAAAAGGTCTGAAACATGTTCCTTAAAAAATATTGGACAGTGATTTTAACCCTAACGCAAAAAACCTTAAACCTAATCCTAGCCCCAAAACCTAATACCCGGGTATTACCTTCAGGAAGCCCGAACACCCCAAATATTTTTTTTTCATTTAGCTTTTTTTTTTTGTCTAACTTAATCCCAAAGGTTGGAAAAGAGTTCCTACAAAGGTTTTGGACAGTGATTTTTACCCTCACGCCCAAAAACCTTAAACCTTACCCTAGCCCCATAACCTAATACCCGGGTATTACCTTCAGGAAGCCCGAACACCCCAAATATATATATATATTTTCTTTTTTTTTTGTCTAACTAACTCCAAAAGGTCTGAAACATGTTCCTTAAAAAATATTGGACAGTGATTTTAACCCTGACGCCAAAAACCTTAAACCTAATCCTAGCCCCATAACCTAATACTTAAACCTGAAGGGTATTACCTTCAGGAAGCCCGAACACCCCAAATATTTTTTTTGTCATTTTACATTTTTTTTGGTGTAACCAACTCCAAAAGGTCTGAATCTCTTTCCTTAAACGGTTTTGGACAGTGATTTTAACCCTAACGCCAAAAACCTTAAACCTTACCCTAGCCCCAAAACCTAATACCTTCAGGAAGCCCGAAAACCCCAAATATTTTTTTCCTTTTTCTTTTTTTTGGTCTAACTAACTCCAAAAGGTCTGAAACATGTTCCTTAAAAAATATTGGACAGTGATTTTAACCCTCACGCCAAAAACCTTAAACCTAATCCTAGCCCCAAAACCTAATACCCGGGTATTACCTTCAGGAAGCCCGAACACCCCAAATATTTATTTTTCATTTTTTTATTGGTCTAACTAACTCCAAAAGGTTGGAAAAGACTTCCTACAAAGGTTTTGGACAGTGATTTTAACCCTCACGCCAAAAACCTTAAACCTTACCCTAGCCCCATAACCTAGGGTAAAGCCCCTTTACCTAATACCCGGGTATTACCTTCAGGAAGCCCGAACACCCCAAATACTTTTTTTTCATTTATCTTTTTTTTTGTCTAACTAACTCCAAAAGGTTGGAAAAGACTTCCTACAAAAGACTAACTCCAAAAGGTTGGAAAAGACTTCCTACAAAGGTAATACAAAGTATTACCTTCAGGAAGCCCGAACACCCCAAATATATATATATTTTTTTCTTTTTTTTTTGGTCAAACTAGCTCCAAAAAGTCTGAAACATGTTCCTTAAAAATATTGGACAGTGATTTTAACCCTAACGCCAAAAACATTAAACCTAATCCTAGCCCCATAACCTAATAATTAAACCTGAAGGGTATTACCTTCAGGAAGCCCGAACACCCCAAATATTTTTTTTTCATTTATCTTTTTTTTTTTTTGTCTAACTAACTCCAAAAGGTCTGAAAAGAGTTCCTACAAAGGTTTTGGACGGTGATTTTAACCCTTAAACCTTACCCTAGCCCCATAACCTAATACCCGGGTATTACCTTCAGAAGCCCAAAAACCCCCCAAATTTTTTTTTTATTTTTCGTTAGTTTTTGCTCTAACTAACTCCAACCTTACCTTCAGGAAGCCCGAACACCCCCAAAAATTTTTTTTTCATATTACATTTTTTTTGGTGTAACCAACTCCAAAAGGTCTGAAACATGTTCCTAAAAAGGTTTTGGACAGTGATTTTAACCCTTACGCCAAAAACCTTAAACCTTACCCTAGCCCCATAACCTAATACCCGGGTATTACCTTCAGGAAGCCCGAACACCCCAAATATTTTTTTTTCATTTATCTTTCTTTTTTTTGTCTACCTAACTCCAAAAGTTTGGAAAAGACTTCCTACAAAGGTTTTGGACAGTGATTTTAACCCTAACACCAAAAACCTTAAACCTTACCCTAGCCCCAAAACCTAATACCTGGGTATTACCTTCAGGAAGCTTGAACACCCCAAATATTTTTTTTTCATTTTACATTTTTTTTGGTGTTACCAACTCCAAAAGGTCTTAAACATGTTCCTAAAAAGGTTTTGGACAGTGATTTTAAACCTAACGCCAAAAACCTTAAACCTTACCCTAGCCCCATAACCTAATACCTGGGTATTTCCTTCAGGAAGCCCGAAGACCCCAAATATATTTTTTCATTTTTTTTTTTTTTTTGGTCTAACTAACTCCAAAAGGTCTGAAAAGAGTTCCTACAAAGGTTTTGGACGGTGATTTTAACCCTTAAACCTTACCCTAGCCCCATAACCTAATACCCGGGTATTACCTTCAGAAGCCCAAAAACCCCAAATATATATTTTTTATTTTCCGTTAGTTTTTGCTCTAACTAACTCCAAAAGGTTGGAAAAGACTTCCTACAAAGGTTTTGGACAGTGATTTTAACCCTAACGCCAAAAACCTTAAACCTTACTATAGCCCCATAACCTAATACCCGGGTATTACCTTCAGGAAGCTTGAACACCCCAAATATTTTTTTTTCATTTTACATTTTTTTTGGTGTAACCTACTCCAAAAGGTCTGAAACATGTTCCTAAAAAGGTTTTGGACATTGATTTTAACCCTAACGCCAAAAACCTTAAACCTAATCCAAGCCCCATAAACTAATACCTGGGTATTTCCTTCAGGAAGCCCGAAGACCCCAAATATATTTTTTTCTTTTTTCTTTTTTTTTGGTCTAACTAACTCCAAAAGGTTGGAAAAGAGTTCCTACAAAGGTTTTGGACAGTGATTTTAACCCTAACACCAAAAACATTAAACCTTACCCTAGCCCCAAAACCTAATACCCAGGTATTACCTTCTGGAAGCCCGAACACCCCAAATATTTTTTTTTTCATTTTACATTTTTTTTTGGTGTAACCAACTCCAAAAGGTCTTAAACATGTTCCTAAAAAGGTTTTGGACACTGATTTTAACTCTAACGCCAAAAACCTTAAACCTTACCCTAGCCCCATAACCTAATACCTGGGTATTACCTTCAGGAAACCCGAACACCCCAAATATTTTTTTTTTCTTTTTCTTTTTTTTTTGTCTAACTAACTCCCAAAGGTCTGAAACATGTTCCTTAAAAAATATTGGACAGTTATTTTAACCCTAACGCCAAAAACCTTAAACCTAACCCTAGCCCCAAAACCTAATACCCGGGTATTACCTTCAGGAAGCCCGAACACCCCAAATATATATTTTTTATTTTTCTTTATTTTTGGTCTTACTTGCTCTCAAAGGTTGGAAAAGAGTTCCTACAAAGGTTTTGGACATTGATTTTAACCCTAACGCCAAAAACCTTAAACATTACCCTAGCCCAGAAACCTAGTATTACCTTCAGGAAGCCCGAACACCCAAAAAAATTTTTTTTTCATTTTACATTTTTTTTGGTGTAACCAACTCCAAAAGGTCTGAAACATGTTCCTAAAAAGGTTTTGGACAGTGATTTTAACCCTTACGCCAAAAACCTTAAACCTTACCCTAGCCCCATAACCTAATACCCGGGTATTACCTTCAGGAAGCCCGAACACCCCAAATATTTTTTTTTCATTTATCTTTTTTTTTTTGTCTAACTAACTCCAAAAGGTTGGAAAAGACTTCCTACAAAGGTTTTTGACAGTGATTTTAAGCCTCACGCCAAAAACCTTAAACCTTAACCTAGCCCCATAACCTAATACCCGGCTATTACCTTCAGGAAGCCCGAACGACCCAAATATATATTTTTTCTTTTTCTTTTTTTTTTTGGTCAAACTAGCTCCAAAAGGTCTGAAACATGTTCCTTAAAAAATATTGGACAGTGATTTTAACCCTTACGCCAAAAACCTTAAACCTAATCCAAGCCCCATAACCTAATACTTAAACCTGAAGGGTATTACCTTCAGGAAGCCCGAACAACCTAAATATTTTTTTTTTCATTTTACATTTTTTTTTGGTGTAACCAACTCCAAAAGGTCTGAATCTTGTTTCTTAAAAGGTTTTGGACAGTGATTTTAACTCTAACACCAAAAACCTTAAACCTTACCCTAGCCCCAAAACCTAATACCTTCAGGAAGCCCGAAAACCCCAAATATTTTTTTTTCTTTTTCCTTTTTTTTTGGTCTAACTAACTCCAAAAGGTCTGAAACATGTTCCTTAAAAAATATTGGACAGTGATTTTAACCCTAACGCCAAAAACCTTAAACCTTACCCTAGCCCCAAAACCTAATACCTTCAGGAAGCCCGAAAACCCCAAATATTTTTTTCCTTTTTCTTTTTTTTTGGTCTAACTAACTCCAAAAGGTCTGAAACATGTTCCTTAAAAAATATTGGACAGTGATTTTAACCCTCACGCCAAAAACCTTAAACCTAATCCTAGCCCCAAAACCTAATACCCGGGTATTACCTTCAGGAAGCCCGAACACCCCAAATATTTATTTTTCATTTTTTTATTGGTCTAACTAACTCCAAAAGGTTGGAAAAGACTTCCTACAAAGGTTTTGGACAGTGATTTTAACCCTCACGCCAAAAACCTTAAACCTTACCCTAGCCCCATAACCTAGGGTAAAGCCCCTTTACCTAATACCCGGGTATTACCTTCAGGAAGCCCGAACACCCCAAATACTTTTTTTTCATTTATCTTTTTTTTTGTCTAACTAACTCCAAAAGGTTGGAAAAGACTTCCTACAAAAGACTAACTCCAAAAGGTTGGAAAAGACTTCCTACAAATGTAATACAAAGTATTACCTTCAGGAAGCCCGAACACCCCAAATATATATATATTTTTTTCTTTTTTTTTTGGTCAAACTAGCTCCAAAAAGTCTGAAACATGTTCCTTAAAAATATTGGACAGTGATTTTAACCCTAACGCCAAAAACATTAAACCTAATCCTAGCCCCATAACCTAATAATTAAACCTGAAGGGTATTACCTTCAGGAAGCCCGAACACCCCAAATATTTTTTTTTCATTTATCTTTTTTTTTTTTTGTCTAACTAACTCCAAAAGGTCTGAAAAGAGTTCCTACAAAGGTTTTGGACGGTGATTTTAACCCTTAAACCTTACCCTAGCCCCATAACCTAATACCCGGGTATTACCTTCAGAAGCCCAAAAACCCCCCAAATTTTTTTTTTATTTTTCGTTAGTTTTTGCTCTAACTAACTCCAACCTTACCTTCAGGAAGCCCGAACACCCCCCAAAATTTTTTTTTCATATTACATTTTTTTTGGTGTAACCAACTCCAAAAGGTCTGAAACATGTTCCTAAAAAGGTTTTGGACAGTGATTTTAACCCTTACGCCAAAAACCTTAAACCTTACCCTAGCCCCATAACCTAATACCCGGGTATTACCTTCAGGAAGCCCGAACACCCCAAATATTTTTTTTTCATTTATCTTTCTTTTTTTTGTCTACCTAACTCCAAAAGGTTGGAAAAGACTTCCTACAAAGGTTTTGGACAGTGATTTTAACCCTAACACCAAAAACCTTAAACCTTACCCTAGCCCCAAAACCTAATACCTGGGTATTACCTTCAGGAAGCTTGAACACCCCAAATATTTTTTTTTCATTTTACATTTTTTTCGGTGTTACCAACTCCAAAAGGTCTTAAACATGTTCCTAAAAAGGTTTTGGACAGTGATTTTAAACCTAACGCCAAAAACCTTAAACCTTACCCTAGCCCCATAACCTAATACCTGGGTATTTCCTTCAGGAAGCCCGAAGACCCCAAATATATTTTTTCATTTTTTTTTTTTTTTGGTCTAACTAACTCCAAAAGGTCTGAAAAGAGTTCCTACAAAGGTTTTGGACGGTGATTTTAACCCTTAAACCTTACCCTAGCCCCATAACCTAATACCCGGGTATTACCTTCAGAAGCCCAAAAACCCCAAATATATATTTTTTATTTTCCGTTAGTTTTTGCTCTAACTAACTCCAAAAGGTTGGAAAAGACTTCCTACAAAGGTTTTGGACAGTGATTTTAACCCTAACGCCAAAAACCTTAAACCTTACTATAGCCCCATAACCTAATACCCGGGTATTACCTTCAGGAAGCTTGAACACCCCAAATATTTTTTTTTCATTTTACATTTTTTTTGGTGTAACCTACTCCAAAAGGTCTGAAACATGTTCCTAAAAAGGTTTTGGACATTGATTTTAACCCTAACGCCAAAAACCTTAAACCTAATCCAAGCCCCATAAACTAATACCTGGGTATTTCCTTCAGGAAGCCCGAAGACCCCAAATATATTTTTTTCTTTTTTCTTTTTTTTTGGTCTAACTAACTCCAAAAGGTTGGAAAAGAGTTCCTACAAAGGTTTTGGACAGTGATTTTAACCCTAACACCAAAAACATTAAACCTTACCCTAGCCCCAAAACCTAATACCCAGGTATTACCTTCTGGAAGCCCGAACACCCCAAATATTTTTTTTTTCATTTTACATTTTTTTTTGGTGTAACCAACTCCAAAAGGTCTTAAACATGTTCCTAAAAAGGTTTTGGACACTGATTTTAACTCTAACGCCAAAAACCTTAAACCTTACCTTTGTCCAAATTCCTTCAGGAAACCCGAAGACCCCAAATATTTTTTTTTCTTTTTCTTTTTTTTTTGTCTAACTAACTCCCAAAGGTCTGAAACATGTTCCTTAAAAAATATTGGACAGTTATTTTAACCCTAACGCCAAAAACCTTAAACCTAACCCTAGCCCCAAAACCTAATACCCGGGTATTACCTTCAGGAAGCCCGAACACCCCAAATATATATTTTTTATTTTTCTTTTTTTTTGGTCTAACTTGCTCTCAAAGGTTGGAAAAGAGTTCCTACAAAGGTTTTGGACATTGATTTTAACCCTAACTCCAAAAACCTTAAACATTACCCTAGCCCAGAAACCTAGTATTACCTTCAGGAAGCCCGAACACCCCAAAATTTTTTTTTCATTTTACATTTTTTTTGGTGTAACCAACTCCAAAAGGTCTGAAACATGTTCCTAAAAAGGTTTTGGACAGTGATTTTAACCCTTACGCCAAAAACCTTAAACCTTACCCTAGCCCCATAACCTAATACCCGGTTATTACCTTCAGGAAGCCCGAACACCCCAAATATTTTTTTTTCATTTATCTTTTTTTTTTTGTCTAACTAACTCCAAAAGGTTGGAAAAGACTTCCTACAAAGGTTTTTGACAGTGATTTTAAGCCTCACGCCAAAAACCTTAAACCTTAACCTAGCCCCATAACCTAATACCCGGCTATTACCTTCAGGAAGCCCGAACGACCCAAATATATATTTTTTCTTTTTCTTTTTTTTTTTGGTCAAACTAGCTCCAAAAGGTCTGAAACATGTTCCTTAAAAAATATTGGACAGTGATTTTAACCCTTACGCCAAAAACCTTAAACCTAATCCAAGCCCCATAACCTAATACTTAAACCTGAAGGGTATTACCTTCAGGAAGCCCGAACAACCTAAATATTTTTTTTTTCATTTTACATTTTTTTTTGGTGTAACCAACTCCAAAAGGTCTGAATCTTGTTTCTTAAAAGGTTTTGGACAGTGATTTTAACTCTAACACCAAAAACCTTAAACCTTACCCTAGCCCCAAAACCTAATACCTTCAGGAAGCCCGAAAACCCCAAATATTTTTTTCTTTTTCCTTTTTTTTTGGTCTAACTATCTCCAAAAGGTCTGAAACATGTTCCTTAAAAAATATTGGACAGTGATTTTAACCCTAACGCCAAAAACCTTAAACCTTACCCTAGCCCCAAAACCTAATACCTTCAGGAAGCCCGAAAACCCCAAATATTTTTTTCCTTTTTCTTTTTTTTTGGTCTAACTAACTCCAAAAGGTCTGAAACATGTTCCTTAAAAAATATTGGACAGTGATTTTAACCCTCACGCCAAAAACCTTAAACCTAATCCTAGCCCCAAAACCTAATACCCGGGTATTACCTTCAGGAAGCCCGAACACCCCAAATATTTATTTTTCATTTTTTTATTGGTCTAACTAACTCCAAAAGGTTGGAAAAGACTTCCTACAAAGGTTTTGGACAGTGATTTTAACCCTCACGCCAAAAACCTTAAACCTTACCCTAGCCCCATAACCTAGGGTAAAGCCCCTTTACCTAATACCCGGGTATTACCTTCAGGAAGCCCGAACACCCCAAATACTTTTTTTTCATTTATCTTTTTTTTTGTCTAACTAACTCCAAAAGGTTGGAAAAGACTTCCTACAAAAGACTAACTCCAAAAGGTTGGAAAAGACTTCCTACAAATGTAATACAAAGTATTACCTTCAGGAAGCCCGAACACCCCAAATATATATATATTTTTTTTTTTTTTTTTGGTCAAACTAGCTCCAAATGTTCCTTAAAAATATTGGACAGTGATTTTAACCCTAACGCCAAAAACATTAAACCTAATCCTAGCCCCATAACCTAATAATTAAACCTGAAGGGTATTACCTTCAGGAAGCCCGAACACCCCAAATATTTTTTTTTCATTTATCTTTTTTTTTTTTGTCTAACTAACTCCAAAAGGTCTGAAAAGAGTTCCTACAAAGGTTTTGGACGGTGATTTTAACCCTTAAACCTTACCCTAGCCCCATAACCTAATACCCGGGTATTACCTTCAGAAGCCCAAAAACCCCCCAAATTTTTTTTTTATTTTTCGTTAGTTTTTGCTCTAACTAACTCCAACCTTACCTTCAGGAAGCCCGAACACCCCCCAAAATTTTTTTTTCATATTACATTTTTTTTGGTGTAACCAACTCCAAAAGGTCTGAAACATGTTCCTAAAAAGGTTTTGGACAGTGATTTTAACCCTTACGCCAAAAACCTTAAACCTTACCCTAGCCCCATAACCTAATACCCGGGTATTACCTTCAGGAAGCCCGAACACCCCAAATATTTTTTTTTCATTTATCTTTCTTTTTTTTGTCTACCTAACTCCAAAAGGTTGGAAAAGACTTCCTACAAAGGTTTTGGACAGTGATTTTAACCCTAACACCAAAAACCTTAAACCTTACCCTAGCCCCAAAACCTAATACCTGGGTATTACCTTCAGGAAGCTTGAACACCCCAAATATTTTTTTTTCATTTTACATTTTTTTCGGTGTTACCAACTCCAAAAGGTCTTAAACATGTTCCTAAAAAGGTTTTGGACAGTGATTTTAAACCTAACGCCAAAAACCTTAAACCTTACCCTAGCCCCATAACCTAATACCTGGGTATTTCCTTCAGGAAGCCCGAAGACCCCAAATATATTTTTTCATTTTTTTTTTTTTTTGGTCTAACTAACTCCAAAAGGTCTGAAAAGAGTTCCTACAAAGGTTTTGGACGGTGATTTTAACCCTTAAACCTTACCCTAGCCCCATAACCTAATACCCGGGTATTACCTTCAGAAGCCCAAAAACCCCAAATATATATTTTTTATTTTCCGTTAGTTTTTGCTCTAACTAACTCCAAAAGGTTGGAAAAGACTTCCTACAAAGGTTTTGGACAGTGATTTTAACCCTAACGCCAAAAACCTTAAACCTTACTATAGCCCCATAACCTAATACCCGGGTATTACCTTCAGGAAGCTTGAACACCCCAAATATTTTTTTTTCATTTTACATTTTTTTTGGTGTAACCTACTCCAAAAGGTCTGAAACATGTTCCTAAAAAGGTTTTGGACATTGATTTTAACCCTAACGCCAAAAACCTTAAACCTAATCCAAGCCCCATAAACTAATACCTGGGTATTTCCTTCAGGAAGCCCGAAGACCCCAAATATATTTTTTTCTTTTTTCTTTTTTTTTGGTCTAACTAACTCCAAAAGGTTGGAAAAGAGTTCCTACAAAGGTTTTGGACAGTGATTTTAACCCTAACACCAAAAACATTAAACCTTACCCTAGCCCCAAAACCTAATACCCAGGTATTACCTTCTGGAAGCCCGAACACCCCAAATATTTTTTTTTTCATTTTACATTTTTTTTTGGTGTAACCAACTCCAAAAGGTCTTAAACATGTTCCTAAAAAGGTTTTGGACACTGATTTTAACTCTAACGCCAAAAACCTTAAACCTTACCCTAGCCCCATAACCT